AGGGGCTGAGCCCCCAGCCACATCAGAGCAGGCAGCCCGAACGGGGACAACCTCCGTTCCCCTGCACGGGGAAGACCCCCCAGCGCAGGGCTACACAAGATGGGACACACTGGTGAGTGGTTTGAAGTGGCTCTTGGCCCTGTGAGATGAGCCTTCGTGCTCAATGCCTACCCACAGAGGCAAGGGCTCAGCAGGGAAGGCCCCTTTGCTACGATCACGTGGAGAAGACCTCAGAACACCAGATCCCATGGGGTGCAAACTTTACTTAATTTACTGTCCCCAAGCCCTTGTTAAGGCATCTCAGCCCACAAGTCACTGGCACGTGATTTCTTATCAGCAGACAGGGCAGCACTTGTCTCTGGTGGAAGGAAGAAGTCAAGCTTCCTCCACTCCTCTCCCTCCCCGAAACACGCACCCAACCAAAACCGCTCAGTCCCATTTTCCATCAGAAGGAGGCCGAGATCTCTCCTGTGATCGAGCTGGGGACCCCTGACCTTCACCCCCGCAGAGGAGACGTGCTGCTTTGCATACGGAGCCCCATGCAGAAGACAGCCACCCTCCAGCCAAGGCACAGTCCCCAGCCCTTTGCAGCATGGCATGGCCAGCGGGCCCCAAGCAAGCCTGTGTGCTCTGCCCAGCTGCCCAAGGAGCCCATCACCATGGCATCAGGTATCGACAGAATAAACTGGTGCGTGCAGCAAGGACAACCACAGGCAGAATGGGACATATATTTTTAAGACAGACTATATAGCCCTAGAGAGAGGAAGCTCAGCCTAAGTTCCCACACTGATGAATCAACTCTGTCTCTCTACAAGTGGCAGAGGCTGCCATGAGCCCAAGCAAACAGGGAGGTTTTCCCTTGTGCTGGAACGCAACGGGCAACCCCATCACACCTTAATGGAGCTGGTCCCACACCCACCCCTTTCCCAAGAGACTGGACTCATGCATCTGCCTGGTGAGGCCAAGAAGGAGGGAGTTTCCTCGGTGAATCCTAATAAAGGTTGAGCTTGTCCAGAGGCTGGGCCACAGCAATAAAGCTGCCTGCAGCCTGCTCAGAGCTAGCGATGCCTGCAGCTGGAAAGCCCCTTCTCTTCAATTCCACGCAGAGCAGTCCCATTGGGACTCAACTCAGCAGAAAAGGAGCTGGTTTACATGGAGGAGACTGCTTGGTTCGAGGGAAAGACGGATGCTTTGAGGAGACTGCGTAAGTGCACAGGACTTGCTCCCTACCCTGCCACAGAATAAACAGGATATGTATCACTGCCCTAAGTGCACCCACCATCTTCTTCTGCCTGTTCCTCATCCTTGACCTCTCCTACCCATGCCCAATTCTGCTGCTCTTTCTCAAGGACTGATGTGCTGTAGCCCAGTAACCACAGCTCTGACTTCCCCAAGGCAGAGGGACCGACAGCGGCACTAAGGGAGGAACGGGGCAGCTGCGGCTTTTGCAAATGATTCTTGGAAGATGGCACCCACGCATTTCACTGGCCATCACACCCACACGTCTCCTGTTGGCTAACTTCCTTCCTCCAAAAGCAGGACCCTTTCTAATTCTGAGTATTGGAAGAGCCAATATTATCCCCATTGCTTCACTTTGCCCAGGCTAACACTCCTCTCTGGCAGAGGCGGGCACGACAGTATCCATGGAAGATCCTGCTGGTGCTTCAACCACCCAAGCTTATGCTCCTCGCCTCGCCCTCCACCTTGTACACTTCCCCCACAAGTGCCAGACTAACAAGCAAAGCCCCCTCACGGGCACACCTCGAGGTGGCACAGGTGGGCAAGCCCGAGGGAAATACTGACAGCCAAGACTTCTGCTGGATGGAAGCCAAGACTTTTGCCAGCTCCCTTTGTGTGAGCCCAGTGCACCTCTCCACTCGGTACCAGCCAGGGCAGCTGGGGAAACAGGAACTACTCAGCCAAAACTCCTGAACTTTTTGTATTTTCAGAATTACAATTACAGGAAAGTGCTGTTGCCCAAGTCTTCCAAAATATATTGATAGTATGATTTTAATTCCTGACCTGGAGCTGCTTTGTGGCAGACGTTCAAGCAAGGCACTCAAGGAAATGTGCCACTGACAGAGATGAAAAGAAGTTGATGGGTTTGTCTGGCAGGGTCAAAGGGATGCAGCCTGTGGCCATGTGGTCCATTTTCTCTGGGCATCTTCTGTCACCAGATGAGCAATTGCTGCTTAGACTCTAGCCCCAACTTGCTTTTGCATACAAAACCAGTGGCAGCTCAATGAGTTGCTCGGTGCTCACAGTCCCCATCTGCACCAAGCCCAGTGGTGGATGTTCAGCATTTCTAAATATAAATGCCACCTACCTCTGCCGCAGGGTCAGGAGGAGAGACAGGAATAGCAGAGGCAGAAATCCACAGCCTCACCACTCTAACCACAAGAACAGTATTTTTTCCCAGTGCTGGGAGTGGATCCCAGGAAAGCCAGCTCTCTGCAGAGACATGGCCAACCCTGAGCTGGATGAACTGCACTGCTGGCAGACTTTTTGCTCCCTCCCTTGCTCTTTACAGATTTCCTGTTCTGAACTGCACTGTGAGTGAGAGAAAACAGGAGAGCAACTGCAACTGCTTGGAGAGCTCTCCGAGAGCCTCTCCTGCCTACAGTAACCAAGGCACCACCAATTAATGTTTCCCCAGTTAATGAGATTCTTACGTTAGGCTCTGGCCAAGCAAGTCTGACAAGCAAAGGCCTCAACCACCTTACAAAACAGCCCCAAGCAGTGAAAGCATCTCCAAGCAGCTGCATCTACCAGGCTTACTCAAGAACAGCAAGCAGGGAGCCCTTGGCACACTGTGACAGACTAGCCCAGGGGGCTTTTCTGAGGCTTCAATTCCACAGCCCTTCTTAAAAGACTCCTGGCTGTCTCTGTGGGCACCTCAGCTCTAGTGTCACAGCTGGGAAAGGTGGTGAAGCTCCTCCACGACGAGGAGCCCCAGAGCCAGCCTGTAGATAAGGACAGGACTAGAAAGCACAATCCAGGCGCCCCGGTGGGGAGCGTAGGAGGCTGGGTTTAGTCTAACCTTGCTTGCTGTGAGACTTCCAACCAATCCTTGGAGCAGTGAGAATTAATGAATTAATTAGCAGATGCACAGGCTCCTTCCTCACCAGGAAGTAAACACTCGGGCTGGCTCCCAGCTCATCTTCAGCCCCAGAACCAGATGTGCTCTGCCAGGAAAGGACAGAGTCTCTATGCCGCTCCTGCTACTGAAGACACGCTTGCTCATGCCAGTGCCACTTAGTTTCTCTTCCTCTCGCACCATTACTCTGTATTAAACTCCAGCTTGGGTTTGGGGCAGAGCTTTGCCCTTTCTAGCTGTGAGCACACTTCACTTGTGCTGTGTGTATGCACTCATGATGAAAACCTTCCGTTGAGGGAATGTAGGCAGGAAAGAGCTGTGATTAGCTGAAGGCAGCTACCAGAAGCCAAACCAAATACCTCCAGAGTGATGATGCCTTTGCCCTTGATAGGGCATCACGGATGTGGGAACACCCCCCCTCTTCATTAAGAGAAACACTCGTCTCCATCACAGAGGCCGAGGGCAGCAGCCCCACAGCAGGGTGTGCGTCACAACTGTGCTGAAAGCTGCGGCTGTGCAGGCGGGTTGGCAAAGCAAGGCCATTCCCAGCTGAGAACAAACTTCTCAGCTTGCTCGGTTGAGCAGCATCTGTGGCCCCGAGGCAGCCACCTCAAGGTCTTGCCCTGCACAGCCCATCTTGTTTTGGGTCTTGCTTACGTGCCACCTCACGCAGCCAAGCCTTCCTCATGGGGGAGGAAATGCTGCGCTCTCTGGGGAAGAGACACTGGAGGGGCCTGGTTTGCTCCTGCATCACCTTCTACTTGCTAGCAGCCCCCCAGCAAGTGCAAGTTTGCTTCTGATGGTGGGTCTGTTCTGTACCACGCTGCCTGGGGCGCCTCTGCTGGGCCCGGCTCGATACCCCACCAGCCACCCACCCGAACCCACGGCAGAGAGCCAAGCATCCATGAGCAGTGCCAGGCAGCAGGTTCTCAGAACAGGGGCTCGGGGAGTCATTCGCAGCCCGGCTGAAGGGCTGCTCCTCAGGAGAGGGCTGACGGCCACGGCACGTCGTTTATCTCCACGCACCGGCTCCCGGGGGCCACCGAGCCCGGGGCTCGGGGGGGAGGGGTCCCGGCGCTAGCAAACCGACCCCA